CTGATCAAAGATCTCAGACCAAGCAATAGTTCAGCCAGCGCTAAGTGCAAACCAGCGAAAGCACTATGGACGAAAATTTGTATGTGATTCTGATGTAGTAGGAGGTATTTCGGTAGCTTTCAAAATTAAAAAATTTAGGTCGTTTTGTGTAACTATCGTGAGAGCAGAAAAAAATAGAAGCTGAACTCCTAGTCAAGGGTTCACCTGCAGTAGCGTCAGCCAGCCAGTCAACGAAGGGCTATGAATACTTTCTACCCACCACCACTGAATTTAACTTAATCCTTTTCACTTCACTTCACAGCTTCAGTAGTAAGGTAGGTAGGTAGGAAGGCAGGTAGGAAGGTAGGTTCCTAACGTACTAACTAAGCTAGTAGACAGGCTAACCTGAGTATCCCGCAACACAATACCAATATCAGGAAGCTAAGAACGGAAGGTCTAAACAAGGAAGCATGACTAGTTTAGGTTAGGTATTACTATTTCAAACCAATCAAATTTAAATAGCAGCATTTTCAAGAGAGAACGTATAACAATTACATACTGTCGAAACCACTTCTCTCCACGCTCGGCTGGAAGCTGTTTTTCAGTGATTAAATATTGAACAAACTTGGGTAAAAGCACCCAAACTATAAGATACCCTTTTCACTTAATTTTCTGTCTCCTCGCCGTATCAACGAGATGCGCTGCAAAAATGGTATATATGCTCTAATAAGCCTCAACACCCTCAAGATCAGGCGTACTATCAAGAATGTTGATTCATTCATAAAAATAAGATATTGAAAATATATGTTTGTATCAATAATGAGACCATGCTAGTGTAAAAACGGAAGACTTTCTGCAATTTTATCAACTTAGACTTGTCGACCGAGTATGTGGTTATCCCACGGGCACTTAAAAAGCCCCCAAAAGTCGTATAGAAGTGGTTGTCGGCGTGAAAGAAGGCGAAGCCTCGCGTGAATGCCTCACAGGCAAGTGCCAAGTCAATCCGGGCCTTTGTGGCTTGTCCCTTGAGGTCTAATTTTGATACGCTAGTTAGAAGGATGTAACTGGGGACAGCGTAGGGATCATTCATCGATGTGTAAACCCACTCTATAGCTCTGGGAACAGCAATCTCAATGAATCATGCATAGTTGCGGGATATCTGCCTGAGCTCGATGATCAGTTGGAAGATTCATCGAACCACGGGGTTATGCACGCAAATAAGACTAAATGGGTCGGGTTGAGAGCTTACGCTTATCAGCCACTTTCCCCCCTTCGAGTTTCCGAGGGTGACTTCTCTGGGCTTTCGAACTCCCTCGACTTTTGCTCAGCATTATTTGAGCCCTCAGCGTCCAACCTTTGTTGGAGGTACAGGCCAGGGACCGTCGACAATGCAATTCCTACTTCTTCCAGCCTCCCAATAATATCTTGAAGCTGAAACTCCTTCCCCGCCCATATAATTGAACCATATTCGATTAAAGTATAGGCACAAATGACACTTGGGGAGTTTTTCAGGACTCTCCTAATCCATGGGTATGGCTCTCTCCCGTCCAATATTTCTGACACCAACGAGGTGTCCCAAAGGATGGACCCTAATTTTCCTTCGCGAAGTTTTGAAGCTTCTACTGGGCTCCCAATTGTCTCTATAGGTCTGCCCTCCGGATGCGATTGAGCACTAAAATTTCGGATTCTGGGCAGTCGCGAGTAGCTGGCGCTTGGGGCCGCCATGAAGTCGAACCTCTGACTCACGTTTTGCATTAACATGGTGGCTTTACGAAGCTCAAATGCGACATGAAATTGTTGATAAGAGCTTGAGTGTTGATATGAGATAGGTTGGCTTACAGGCTGACTGTTGCGTCAATGCTGGTTGTAAATTGTGTTCGGAGGAGTGGTTATAGTGTTTAGGGTGTGGAAGCTGACGTCTTTGTGGAGTGCTGGTGGGTGTGAGCATTGTGGGGTACTGGAAGGGTTAGGTGAGCTGGGTAGTCTTTTGATTCCTAAATAATTAGCAATCTTCCAAATGTTGTATGGTGATTAGGTGAATACCTAGGTATTCAGTTAGCTTACCGGTGCGTATGGCCGATTCAAAGATGACATTGTATAATATTGTAAGATTTGGATATGAGTAGTATTATAATTGAGAAAAGCTAGCTATAAATCCAAATTACAGATATATATTGCTAGACCCTAATATGGAGGAGTTTGTTTGCCGTGCGTGGGCCATTCCCCATTTTATGTCTCTCCACTCCAGGCATGGTACCCATTCCATCTTCTCTCCACCAGCGTTCTTTAAACAATCTCACAATCTCTATTATATCTTCGTGATACCGATTGCTCGCAGGGGTGTTGTGTTGTTTGTCCAGCTTTGTGGCATGATCGGTTTGTGTTGGTGCCCACAACACAGTTTGGTTACGAGGCCGTGCAGTGCTTCGGATTCGGCCCGCCCAAAAGCTTATCGTCTGAAAACAGCAAGTTCATCGTATCAAACATAAATATCTTCTCTGAGTACATCAAATACCGTGAAGTAATCAGACAGCTGTTTGAATAGGCCACCTCGAAAAGACCGTGAGAACCCAAAGAGTAGCCCTCAGGGACGGCCGACGGTGGAATCGTCTTAATTTTTGATATTTTAGACAGAACATTCGTTGACCATGTCGTATGTAATACACCTGAGAGTTTGGTGAACATCTTTCGCGGCTTCTCTTATCTTCCCCGCAACACAGCAACCGGCGTGGTTTCCTTGATCCATATATGCATGAGACTTATAATAATATGTAATCTCGGAGCCCCCACTTTGCACGCTCTCAAAAGCATTTAATATTTCCTCCAGGGAGACCGCGTTCCAGCCTAGAACAGGATAACCCAAAGCGATGCCGATTCTGCAGACCGCTGCCAGCTGTGAATCATCACATCGGCGAGCCGTGCCGCGATCAACTTGACAAACCGAGGAATCCGCAAAAGCTACCTCCTTATATGCTTTGCATATTTTTTCTAACTGTTGGATGAGAATTGCCGATAGCTCCTCCCTCTTTTGCCATAGTTTGCCTGCACGTTTTGTTAGAACTCATCTTTTTAAGCGTAAGCTGTTTAGTATACGCACCCGGTAGCGTTTGTGGAACACTGCAAGGAAAATCCGACCCGCCCAACGGCGATATGACTTCTTGGCCGTTCTTTCGACATTTTTTGACTAATTGGATCGTAATTTGATCCAGGATATTCACAACTGAGAACGCTATCGCGATTCGGAACCACAGGCCCAAGTCGCTGCACTTGCCGCCTGATACCCACAAGTGCTGTATCCATTGCAATACCCAAGGTCTCAAGGCTTCGGATAGATCATAAAAGTCGCAAATTTCCGCGAGAAGTGTTAGGTCTTCAAGCGAGAACTTGACGGGAACGTGTTTGTTTTGGTGGTGTAAGATGTGGAAGACTATCCCCATCAATCGGGGGTGCCCGAGTGCCAGTTTCACTTCATGCTTGCCCGATGAACCAGCCTTTGATTGATTATAAGGTTTGGATAGATCGAGCATAGCGCGGAAGACTGGCGAACTGAGAGATAGTGCTTTGGAAGCTACCAGAAAGCTGTCGAGAATATCCCCAGCTTCATCGCAGCAATTGATGATGGTGTCACCCGCAGGGTCCATTATATTGACGGCCTCCTTATGTGCTTCCATGTTTGTAGGCTCTCCAGTTCAAAGGCTTTCTGAGGATCTGCAGATCCGGTGGGATCGCAGCTGTAGGAAGGAAAGGAGTTTGATGTTCGAATGATGATGAATTGTGTTGTTCTAAAATTACAGGATCCAGTAGGCACAATTATGATATCGCTGAATTCATAAATATTCGAACCAGGCAAGGTCACCAATAAGCCGGGGGAAATCCTAACGGCGGCTTGAGAAGTATGGGTGAAACGAGCGAGAGAACTATGTCGAAGAGAGAGATTAGGACCTGGCAGAAGATGTCGCGGCACTATGTTAGTAGAGGCCTATGTCATTCGACCTCGACATCTCGACCGCTAGCACCATCAAATGACGCAACTCGGATCTATCGATATCCAGATACACATTGTCTAGCGATCCAACCTCAGCTGTGAGTCCAGCCCAGCGGAAGAAGAATATGCTAGTAGGCCAGGTAACCTCCCCAGATTGAAACCATCGTAGGTGTAATTAAGACTTCGCCGCAGAGTCCGCGAGTTTAGGGTTGCGGCGGTAGAGATCTACAGGTTTGGCCGTTTGACTTTGTTTCCTTCCAGCCACCAATTCATTCCCACGACAACACTAGAAATATCTTACGGCGTTGGAGTTTGCGGTTGAGAAGGTTCGAGCTGGTTATGAGCGCCAAAACAAAATAGAATAAAATAAAATAAATAAGATAGAGCGATGTATCTAGATTTCTCTTCTCCAATCAATCATCATCGTCACGTTTGTTAATTCCATCCATCATTACCACCATGAACGCCGCTCGTCTCATTCACCCTCGTCTGATCCGCCCCAGTCCCCTCCTCTCCCGCCCCCTCCTCTCCCGCCCTTCTCTCGTCCGTCATCTCCCGTCTCGATCTCTCACTGATATATGCCGGCCCGTCACCAATCCACCGGTAAGTTCCCGGAATTTGGTTACCTCTACGGGCCTTTAACCTTTTTTTTGTTTACAAATCTACTAATATCCGCTTAGTCCCTACCGATTGATAGTAACATCGATCAAAAGCTAGATTTCATCGTGGCCAAGCTGACCGAGATTAATAAAGCAGTCGCTGGACTCAACAAGGTGACACCACTCCAAGATGAGCAAATCCAAGTACACACTAGCAGCTACTAAACGTGAGTTTTGAATAGACGGTGACGGCGATGAGCTTTGAGCTTCACATCTTGAATATCGGAATGGGCGCCTTCTATTCTACTGGCTTAGGGGTAAGAGACTATATCGTCGATTTGACCTCGAGCTTAAGCTGACAGTTCGATTTTATCCACAGTTTCTGATGTGGTACATAAAGGAGTCCATAAAGAAAAATATGAATAAAGATGCCTAGCAGCGCTGTGGCTCAATGGTAGAGCGCATGCTAGCTCTCTATGGGCTCTAAGAGCATGAGAAGTTGGTTCAAATCCAACCGATGCTTTGAAAGGGCATTCACAAGTCTTTTATGTGCTCCTTCATATAGTCTAGAGCTATAAGTGTACATACATCTGGCTTTACATAGACGGTCTTAGCTGACCCCTGCGCGATCAAAGCAGATGGCTACGAGGGAAACACGGCCACTAGGTCTTCCGTTGAGCTTAGCCTCGAATCCGGGCGCCCGGCGGGATAGCTCATATGAGTTTAATCGCAGGCCCTCCACAAAATTGATCGAACTGGATGTTCGTGTGCGGCCCACTTTTCCCGTTCACAAAACGTCAATCAGTGTTTTTGGCGAACGTGAACACTCGAGTTATCCTCCAATGGTCAAGGTTCGGGTGTTGTTTGCGCGTGATAAGGCCTGATCAACTCCGACTTGATATAGTATTGATTCGTACATTCTACACACCTGTAGATATCAAACTAGACGTCTTGGTCAATCCTACATAGGTAGTATATGTATAATATGGGGAGGACTATCTCGATACCTATTTTCTTTTTCTACTTCGGTACCCCTCCATAACAACTAGAGCAATTTTCACCTTAGTACGTGCCAGTTAAGCAACCAACCTAATCTTGAATTCAGAGATTAGAAGTACATGCGGTCTACAAACCTGTGAGCGTGCAATTCACAGACGAGTAAAGCACGCAGCTCGCAATCTTGTAGACGTGCAGTTCTTAAGCTGTAGACTGGTAAGTATAAAATTCGCAGGCTAGTAGGCATACAATTTAGAGGCTAATCGGTAGGCCGATTCAAAAGTACGTAAATATGTAGCCTATAAGCTAAGAATTGTATACAGAGATAAATATTTCACAAATTAGCAGGGATTCATTACAATACTCAAAGGGAATATGGGGTCTCCTTATTTTAATTTACACGCATGCACAGTTATACTGGGCTTGTAAAGCAAACTGCGTGGCCCTTATCATAGTCCTTGCGCTTCATGGTCGTCTCGTGGGATGAGAGAAATCAAGCGAATGAAGTGTACATATAAGGATCACGACGATGGCGACATGGAGAATTTGCCTGGAGTCGAGCTCGCGAGATAAATCAAATTCTGTTAAGATGATTGGCGCAACTCTCTCTGTTGTTCTGGCCCCGGGTTCTATTTTTTTTTCAGCGGTAAAGGAGAAGCGGCATAAAGGCCGCCGCTGGCCGTCTAGGGGCGCAACCCCGCCATACAATCGACTCTTCAATGGCTTTACAAATATTAGTCAAGTCTGTGATGGAAATGTCGTCCTTGAAGTGAACACCATATTCTTCGCCAAGCAGAGCCACAAGATTCGGAGTAGTCAGCTACCATAACCCCCAAAAATCAACAAGGTATGAGCCGAAGAAGCTTTAATTAAAGGGGGTATGGTTTACCGATAGCTGGTCCTAGGTGAAATCATGCGCCATGCCTGTAGACGGAATCCCAAGCTCCTCTCGTACACTAACCATACTTGTTTTTACGGGTAGCTTTTTGCAACGGTCATATGCGAGTTCTTCCTCTGTTTTTGGAACCAAATGGGCCGAAGACGAGAACGTAGGACGGTCACTGTTGTAATCGAGAGGAGGTTCGTTACGCTGGTCGTATTCGGATGCGGGGTTCGTTTCTCGCAATCCAGACAGAACTTCGACAGCACTCTCAAACGCCGCTTTTGAGCTCTCGGCTGAGGCTGAAGCGTTTCTCGGATCTAGTTCAGGCATGGTGGTAGCGAAGAGAGTGCAGTCTTAGTTAGTATGAAGGTTCTAACGCTTCTTGGCGATACGATATATCCGAGATCGTGCTGGGGCCGGTATACGCGGTCTCACATTTATTTGCGACAAAAGATTCACGTAGATATATCGATACGAAGTCGGTCGAAACAGTTTGTGTTGGTGGCGCCATGGCATGCAAATTCGAGAGTCGGATTAAAGACTTGTAAATGAACAATGGCTGGGCTGCTAGCTGGCCTAGGAACATTACATTATTCCGCTGGCTGTTGGAACTCGAATCTTTGCATGTCCTCAAGATGACCGCTAATCAGTATTATCGCTATCATGGCCGCTATTGGAACCGTTACGAAAAGTCTGGAATGATGGAGGGGTTGCTGCAAAATTGCGTTCGCCACCGACCACAGGAAGGGTTTACCTCGTAAACCAAATATGATGCCGACTGCAGATATCGATGGGAGAGCTCGTCTGTCCCCACGTAGTTCCAACACGAAATGTGAGGATGCCACACCCGAGAAACCCTATATCAACCTTTTCGCATCACTATTTAGTCTTATTCCCGGAGGTCACAAACCGGGACTTCATTCAATTTCTTGGCCATTTGGTAAAGTTCCCACGTCGCCAGCCGAAGCAACCTATAGCCTGGATCTTGTGACGCTTTCGCTCCCGTCAGTTGAGCAATTGAAATTGAGCATGCTAGCAATTGAGTCGTGATATATCGATATTGAATCCAAGGAGTTGTGTTGTTGCATCTGCGCTTGCCTTTGTTTCGGCGTGGTCTGGTTGCGTCGGGAGGGGATTTCAGCAGAATTCAGTCAAGGTGCTCGATGTCCGCCGATATGGTCGGAATTATCGATAAGAAATGGTGGTATCAACTTGTAGGTCAACTAGCATTGAAGTTTGTGGGGCAATAGAGACCTTTGCGATATTCTACACTTTGGACTGTGCATTGCTGATCCGCGCTGATAAACTCCTAATTGCCGAGTCATTTTCGCCTGGATTCGAGGCTAAGTCAGCTCATCCAATGGAATATCGAAACCGGAGGCACGCAATACATAACTATACGTGCTTGAATAGATGCCTAGTGGACCTAGCCATAGCTGAGATGGAGAAATAGGTTTTTATGTACATAGGCTCGTATCCAAGAGCCTAAACTAATCTTAACCTGGATGAATCTGACCGGGTTGTCGTCGACCAAGGTAGTACTTATCTTGTGAAACCCAGATCCTTGACCAAGCTAGGAGAGGTGCTAGCCTGTTTGGCTAAATCGCCCAGGGGGCCCTTCTTGACGACCCACTTTGTTCAGTAGACGTTCCGCAACGAAACGGAGATATATGGACACGGCTCACTTAGCTACCCGCTCTCCTCTCGATCGTCGAGTGTATAAAGATGGCAGCTGTTTTCCTCCTACTTTGAATCCTGAATTGATATTTCTACCATCTAACCGATTATCTAACCTCACAAAGAAGCAAAGATCTATACAAAGACGTAGATATTGATATCTTTATCATGCCACTCGAAGTAAGCTCTACTGACAAATATCTGCGTGGATGTCAATCCATTTTAAAGGTTACTAAGTTACTAATCGGCGTGGTTTATATTAGACTTTAATTACTGCTCCCAGCTATTCTCTGTACAGCAGCAAATATTAATATCAAGTACTGACAGGGAATTCTTGTTCAATTTCGCAGGTTGGAAGGTGCCGATCAAGAGCTTGGGGATGTCCAAAGCTATGCGGTATTACCTCATAACGCTTACTTGGGGGGAAATGATTCTGATCTATAATAGGATGGGGTCTACACGATCACAAAGTCGAACGATGATGGTGAAGTGATAGAAACAGTGGGAAATGTTCCCGAAGCCCTGGTCGAGGAGTATGGCCTGGGCGAGGGAGGTTACAAAATGAGTTTCGGAGCCATCGGCAGCCGCTAAGTGCGAAACTACGGCACGAGCTTACGAGCGGAATTAGGGTTTATATGAATATCAAGTATGAGTTTACATGACAACAGACGTCGAAGACATGGTAGCATTAAATTTGGTTTACGAGATAGCCGCAGGGTGTTCCTATGTAGGAAATAATAAGCTTTGCATATTCACGTTATTTGTTTTCCATTAGCGTCATGAGCTATTATTCGTTTGCAAGTCCATTGTTTCACTCGGTCTTTTGTTGCATGTTGTATAGTTCTAAATAAGTACGCACTATATACTGTTGTCGACCAGCCGCCTCGGTCGCTAATGTCAGTGCAGTTAAGCTATATGGCCTTCCTTGGCCTCTGCTCTGCATATATATACCTTATTCAATACTCCATTTTCTTGGAAAGGATAGCGAAGGGAGAGAGCCGCCCATATCATGATATCATATGAACATTGTGTTTCCTATAGTAGGTGTTGGCGGGCCGGTTAGAGCGTCCCAGTCTCCGTGGGGGAGTCACCGAATCTCACTTCGACTCTATCGTTAGAAACGACTTGCTTACGCTACTACCGTATAACCCTCAACGAGGGCCCAAATATTCTATATCGTATTATATTATGTTGCTTTTTGGAGAACGGATTTCAACCGCCAACTTTGTGCTAGCATCGGAACTGAACTTTTTGTACATATAGAGCTATGACTTGGAGTAAGCGGAAGCATCTAGATCCCTGTAGATAGCTATACCTTTAGTGGATACTGCATACAGAAAGTTCTTTGTTGTACCCTATGAGAGGACAGAAGGTTTGGCCAACATTGAGATAATACCCGAATTATATTAGTCTAAACAAAAGTATTGGAATACGTTGCTTGTTCTATCCAAGAGATGTTCCAAGCCAAAAGCTTAAGAAATGCTGTGGCAAAATCCGCAGTTGAGGTGTCTGGTGCTGAGACAAGGCTGATCCTGGGCCGGTGCTAATTTCAGTGTTAGCGCTCGCTTCGATACCTTCAGTTCCGCAAGCAGTCTGACTGACTGGGTTTCTCGACGGATTCGAGGGGTAATCTCGCTCTATAGGGCTATCTGACATGATTTTGAGTATTCTATAATTATATTGTCGAATAACGGTCCGTATGGACAGTCGACGCCAGGTTCGAGCACGCGAAATTTGCAGAGATCAGCGAGCGATACATGTCTACTCGACACATACGGAGTTTCTCCATATGAGGTTCCTGGCACTATACTCTCTTTTCACCCACGGATTCGGCCCGTCCATCGTAAGTTTCAATATTTATAAATACCTGGTCTCGCGTAGCTAACTTGGGTGTAAGTATAGGCTAACTCAAGGCCTACGACCTATACAACATATGCATCTAGGCGGTTGAAGTTCGTGCTCAGAGG